CGAGGTCTTTTATGGTTCCATATGAATTTTAGGATGATTTTCTCTAGTTCTTTGAAGAATGCTTTTGGTATTTTGATAGGAATTGCATTGAATCTGTAGATTGCCTTAGGCAGGACGGCCATTTTGACAATATTAATTCTTCCTATCCATAAGCATGGGATGTGTTTCCATTTATTGGTATCTTCTTTAATTTCTCTTAAGCGTGTCTTGTAGTTTTCAGAGTATAGGTCTTTCACTTCCCTGGTTAGGTTTATTCCTAGGTATTTTATTCTTTTTGATGCAGTTGTGAATGGAATTGTTTTCCTAATTTCTCCTTCTGCTAGTTCATTGTTAGTGTATAGGAATGCCACAGATTTCTGTGTATTAATTTTGTATCCTGCAACTTTGCTGGTTTCAGATATTAGATCTAGTAGTTTTGGAGTGACTTCTTTAGGGTTTTTTATGTACAATATCATGTCATCTGCAAACAGGGACAGTTTAACTCCTTCCTTGCCAATCTGGATGCCTTTTATTTCTTTGTGTTGTCTGATTGCCGTGGCTAGGACCTCCAGTACTATGTTGAATAGAAGTGGGGAGAGTGGGCATCCTTGTCTTGTTCCTGATCTTAAAGGAAAAGCTTTCAGCTTCTCGCTGTTAAGTATAATGTTGGCTGTGGGTTTGTCATATGTGGCCTTTATTATGTTGAGGTACTTGCCCTCTATACCCATTTTGTTGAGAGTTTTTATCATGAATGGATGTTGAATTTTGTCAAATGCTTTTTCAACATCTATAGAGATGATTATGTGGTTTTTGTCCTTTTTGTTGATGTGGTGGATGCTGTTGATGGTTTTTCGAATGTTGTACCATCCTTGCATCCCTGGCATAAATCCAACTTGATCATGATGAATGATCTTTTTGATGTATTTTTTAATTCGGTTTGCTAATATTTTGTTGAGTATTTTTGCATCTATGTTCATCAGGGATATTGGTCTATAATTTTCTTTTTTTGTGGTGTCTTTGCCTGGTTTTGGTATTAGAGTGATGCTGGCCTCATAGAATGAGTTTGGAAGTATTCCCTCCTCTTCTATTTTTTGGAAAACTTTAAGGAGAATGGGTATTAAGTCTTCACTAAATGTTTGATAAAATTCAGCGGTGAAGCCATCTGGTCCAGGGGTTTTGTTCTTAGGTAGGTTTTTGTTTACCAGTTAAATTTTGTTGCTGGTAATAGGGCTGTTCAGATTTTCTGTTTCTTCCTTGTTCAGCCTTGGAAGGTTGTGTTTTTCTAGAAAGTTATGCATTTCTTCTAGGTTATCCAGTTTGTTAGCATATAATTTTTCATAGTATTCTCTAATAATTCTTTGTATTTCTGTGGTGTCTGTAGTGATTTTTCCTTTCTCATTTCTGATTCTGTTTATGTGTGTAGACTCTCTTTTTTTCTTGATAAGTCTGACTAGGGGTTTATCTATTCTGTTTATTTTCTCAAAGAACCAGCTCTTGCTTTCATTGATTCTATTGTTTTATTCTTCTCAATTTTATTTATTTCTGCTCTAATCTTTATTATGTCCCTCCTTCTACTGACTTTGTGCCTCATTTGTTGTTCTTTTTCTAGTTTCATTAATTGTGAGTTTAGACTGCTTATATGGGATTGTTCTTTCTTGAGGTTGGCCTGTATTGCAATATACTTTCCCTTAGCACAGCTTTGGCTGCGTCCAACAGATTTTGCGGTGTTGAATTATTGTTGTCATTTGTCTCCATATATTGCTTGATCTCTGTTTTTATTTGGTCATTGATCCATTGGTTATTTAGGAGCATGTTGTGAAGCCTCCATGTTTTCGTGGGATTTTTCATTTTCTTTGCATAATTTATTTCTAGTTTCATAGCTTTGTGATCTAAGAAATTGGTTAGTACAATTTCAGTATTTTTCAATTTACTGAAGCTCTTTTTGTGGCCTAGTGTATGATCTATTCTTGAAAATGTTCTGTGTGCACTTGAGAAGAATGTGTATTCTCCTGCTTTTGGGTGTAGAGTTCTGTAGATGTCTGTTAGGTCCATCTGTTCTCCTGTGTTGTTCAGAGCCTCTGTCTTCTTACTTATTTTCTGTCTGGTTGAACTGTCCTTTGCAGTGAGTTGAGTGTTGAAGTCTCTTAGAATGAATGCATTGCCTTCTATGTCCCCTTTTAATTCTGTTAGTATTTGTTTCACATACGTGGGTGCTCCTGTGTTGGGAGCATAGATATTTATAATGGTTATATCTTCTTGTTGGATTGATTTCTTTATCATTATGTAATATCCTTCTTTGTCTCTTGTTACTTTCTGTGTTTTGAAGTCTATTTTGTCTGACACAAGTATTGCAACTCCTGCTTTTTTCTCTCTGTTAGTTGCATGAGATATCTTTTTCCATCCCTTCACTTTTAGTCTGTGTATGTCTTTGGGTTTAAAGTGAGTCTCTTGCAGGCAGCATATAGATGGGTCTTGTTTTTTTATCCATTCAGTGACCCTATATCTTTTGATTGGTGCTTTCAGTCCATTTACATTTAGGGTGATTATCGATAGGTATGTACTTATTGCCATTGCAGGCTTTTGATTCATGGTTACCACAGGTTCAAAGTTAATTTCCTTACTTTCTAAGAGTCTAACTTAACTCACTTAATATGCTGTTACAAACATAATCTAAAGGTCTTTTTCTTTTTCTCCTCCTTTTTCTTCCTCCTCCATTCTTTATATATTAGGTATCATATTCTGTATTCTTTGTCTATCCCTTGATTGACTTTGGGGACAGTTAATTTAATTTTGCATTTGCTTAGTAATTAGCTGTTCTACTTTCTTTACTGTGCTTTTATTTCCTCTGGTGACAGCTATTAAACCTTAGGAACACTTCCATCTATAGCAGTCCCTCCAAAATAGACTGTAGAGATGGTTTGTGAGAGGTAAATTCTCTCCACTTTTGCTTATCTGGAAATTGTTTAATCCCTCCTTCAAATTTAAATGATAATCTTGCCAGTAAAGTAATCTTGGTTTGAGGCCCTTCTGCTTCATTGCATTAAATACATCATGGCACTCCCTTCTGGCCTGTAAGGTTTCTGCTGAGAAGTCTGATGTTAGCCTGATAGGCTTTCCTTTGTATGTGATCTTATTTATTTCTCTGGCTACTTTTAATAGTCTGTCCTTATCCTTGATTTTGGCAATTTTATTACTATATGTCTTGGTGTTGTCTTCCTTGGGTCCCTTGTGGTGGGAGATGTGTGGATCTCTATGTCCTCAGAGACTTATCTCCTTCCCCAGACTGGAGAAGTTTTCAGCAATTACCTCCTCAAAGACACTTCTATCCCTTTCTCTTTCTCTTCTTCTTTTGGTATCCCCATAATGCGAATATTGTTCTGTTTGCATTCATCACACAGTTCTCTCAATATTCTTTCATTTTTAGAGATCCTTTTTTCTGTCTGTGTCTCAGCTTCTTTGTATTCCTCTTCTCTAGTTTCTGTTTCATTTATTGTCTCCTCTACTATATCCAACCTGCTTTTAATACCCTCCATTGTGCTCTTCAGCAATTGGATCTCTGACCCAAATTCATTCCTGAATTCTTGGATATCTTTCCATACCTCCATTAGCATGTTGATGATTTTTATCTCGAACTCCCTTTCAGAAACAGTCCTAAGGTCCATGTCATTTAAATCTTTCTCCAGAGTTATATTAATTTTACTCTCCACCAGGTTCCTTTGGTGTTTCATGTTTGTATATGGCGCCCTCTAGTGTCCTGAAGCTCTTCTCTGGAGCCGCTCAGCCCCTGAAGCAATGTTGGGGGTCGCAGGGAAGGGGTATTGGTGCCTGGGGGGAGGAAAGAGCTGTTCCCCGCTTTCCGGCTGCTGTGCCTGTCTCCACGGCCTTAACCAGTGGGCCGAGCACACAGGTATAAGCTTTTGTCCCAGATCAGCCGGATATGGATCCGTGCTTTCCACAAGCAGCTGAATCTCAGTCTCTCCAGGAATTCTTCCTGTACTAACTTTCCAACCCGGTAGTCATGTGAGTCTCATGAAAGCACCATGAAATGTAGGTTTGTGCTTCCAGAGCAGATCTCTGGAGCTAGGTGTTCAGCAGTCCCAGGCCTTCCACTCCCTCTCTGCTCCTTTCCTCTTCCTCCCGCCAGTGGGGGAAGGGCTCGGGTCCCACCTGGCCACAGCTTTGGTACGTTACCCTGTTCCATGAAGTCCGCTCTTTTCTCCAGGTGTATGCAATCTGGTGCCATCCTCTTTCTTGTTGCTCTCTCAGGATTAGTTGCACCAACTATATTTTCTAATTGTATCCAGTTTTAGGAGGAAGCCTCTGTCTCTCCTCTCACACTGCCATCTTTAATCCACTCCAGTTCAGCTATATTTAAAACTTAACTTTACAAATGCCATACTCAGGGTGATACAGACCAAATTTGGAAGCTTTTGAGCCCACAAACACATTTCCTTATACTGATTACTTAACTCTTTTTCTCCCTCCCACCACCCCAGAAATTAGAACAAAGCTTCTCTTCTCACAATTGTACATTCTTTAAAATTCTTCAAATGCACGAGTACCTTCTCACCTCAGGGACTTTGCGCATACTCTTCTCTTTTCCTATTTTCCCTTAATTTCGTTCAGGAAATCACTGGATGCCATTTACATTGAAATTGCTCACACCATCTTCATAGAAAGCAGTATATTTTTCTATGTTATATTGTGTTTTTTAAAACCTATTATTAAAGTTAGATGTTTCTCTAGCTATAGCTGGTATAGAAACTACTTAAAAATAAGAAATTCAGTGCTATCAAAACATTTATCCCTGTCATCAGGAAGAAAAATTTTTTTTCATCACTTTAACAGATAGTTTCAAGCAACTATTATTTACAAAGTAAAATATTAAAAGCTGGACTCTGTTTCTGGTTTTCATTATAGAAGTCTGAACATCTTTTGCAAAGGTAGTGCAGAGGAATAAGGAGACAGCAAGGGTCCCTTTTGGCTCCCTCTCCCAATCACCTTCTGCCTTTTCATTCTAGGGGTTCTTCAGCAAGCGCCTGAAAGGCTCCATCAAGAGGACCAAAAGCCAATCAAAGCTTGACAGAAATACGAGCTTTCGGCTTCCATCCCTTCGAAATACAGATGACAGGTAGGAAGTTACCTTGCTTAAAACAGAGAAAGTGGTTTTACAGTGGGCTTTGATAAGGCATTTGGTCTTTTCTAATTTACATCAGTAGCAATTGGAAAGATACAATACAAAATTTACATATTTTGTCTTGTTCATATTGAGGCAAGGTAAAAAATCTTGGTTCAGTTACCCAACCAGTTTAAGAAACTTGCAATATTGGAGAATGTGTGGATACATAAGAACTAATTTAAGAATCAATTGTGCTGTTTCTGTAGAATCAAGTTCTAGTGATCAAAGGAGTGTATCTCCTTTCATAGAGTGACTATAAGGGATGATGATGGTGCTAATATGTAACATTTTTTGAGCTCTGTACTCAATGCTTTATACATGTTATCTTTTTTAATCTTTATAATAACCTTATAAAATTAATACTATTATCACCATTTTATAGATGAAGAAACTGAAGCATAAACAAGTTAAGTAATTTTGCTCAAAGTCGTACAGTTTAGTAAATAGCAAAAATGGTATTTAACCTCTGGTGATTTGACTCCAGAATCTTCTCTCTTCACTGCTTCACGGTACTTTGTGTATAGCATATGGAATTGGTCTTGTTGATTTGCAGTCACATCTATAAGACATCCATGAAAAGAAAGCCTGTATTTCAATAATTAGGACCATTCAATAATTAGCTTGAGTGAACCATGTGCTGTGTGTCAGGCATTTTTAATGTAGTCTCTCTTGTAATACAACCCCAGCTACTATTATTATCCTCATTTTACAGATGGGAAACTAAAGCAGAAGAGATTGGATTTGAACTCATGTCTGCCTTTCATGTTTGATATTCTGATTTACACTTGAGTTTTTTCTTTCAATAAGTCAGTTATCTGCATAACAACAAAAATATAAATTAAAATCTCTGGAATGACAGGTATGGATTTACCAGGCAAAGAATTATTCTTCTTGTTTTACAGATGAAATAACTTGTGCCCTATACTGAGTTAATGAGAGACTACTGCTTTATCAGCTCCTCTGATGTCTCAGTCACATTAGAGAAGCTCTGTGAAATTTGCGTCTGTCCAATTTGCAGTGTAATTGTATTGTTAATTATCTTGTACACCTCTTTGTTTAAGGTAATCATTTAAAAAACTGATGTTTTTTTCTCATATCTTTTCCTTAGATTCCTCTTATCCTACAACTTTTACCATTATAAGAATTCAAGGCATTTTATAAATTTCAATAAAATGGAATGGCAAACTTTTTCAGAACATCAATTATCAAGGACAAGGATGTTGTGCAGCAGCTAAAGCACTCCCACTTCAATAGCCAGTTTCTTAAACTTGGCAGCATCATGTGTAAACTTGGGAGACAAGGAAGTGTTTTTTATAGGGGTACATTAGTTTTTAACTTGCACTGCATATCACTTTCTTAATCCCAAAGTGTTCTCTTCTATTCCATTTTGCTTAGGTAGCATAAAATAATTATTGGATTGAATTACCAAGAGATTATATTCTCCTAGAGTCTCTTATATTTCTGTTGTACAGTTAGTGCACCTTCAACCTTTCCAGTGACATAAGTTCATTATATGTGCCTTCCATCCTATCTGTTTCAGTGAATGGTAGTATCTTTGTCACATACACAATAACAAAATGGTCCTAGTCAGTCTCAAATATTAGAAAGACCTTTTGTTTTCCAAATCTTTTTCAATTATAGAGTTTCCTAAACAGAAATTTATCAGCAACTTTATTCTTGCATATGAATGTACTCACTACAATTTGTATTACAATTTTTTAAAAAATAGGTTGTCTTGCTTTCAGATCATCTGAAGACAGATAAATAGAACTAAGATACAAGGTATTAATCAGCTGAGCTTTTTGAATTGGCATCCTTGCGGGTGTGATCAGAGATTTTCCAAAAACCCTTGGTTTTCTTGGTTCATATGTGTCAATTGCTGATGTCAGAACATTTCTTCTAAAGTGGTATCTAGTGATCAAATCTAAGTAACAAACCATTTCTATTCTTATATCAAATCTATGGAAATTTTAGGTAAACCTAATAAGCAGCCCTTTTTTTCCACTTTTTCAATTGTACAATAAAATAAAAGTCTTTGTTGGTTTTTTTTTTTTGGTATCATTAATGAACAATTACATGAGCAACATTATGGTTACTGAACTCCCCCCATTATCAAGTCCCCAACACATACCCATTAGAGTCACTGTCCATTAGCATAGTTATACACTATAGAATCACAACTTGTCTTCTCCGTGTTGTACTGCCTTCCCCGTGCCCCACCCCTATACTATGTGTGCTAATCGTAATGTCCCTTTATCCCCCTTATCCCTCCTTTCCCGCCCATCCTCCCCAGTCTCTTTCCCGTTGGTAACTGTTAGTCTATTCTTGGGTTCTGTGACTCTGCTGCTGTTTTGTTCCTTCAGTTTTTGCTTTGTTCTTATACTCCACAGATGAGTGAAATCATTTGATACTTGTCTTTCTCCGCCTGGCTTATTTCGCTGAGCATAATACCCTCTAGCTCCATCCATGATGTTGGGAATGGTAGGATTTGTTTTCTTCTTATGGCTGAATAATATTCCATTGTGTGTATGTACCACACCTTCTTTATCCATTCATCTACTGATGGACACTTAGGTTGCTTCCATTTCTTGGCTATTGTGAATAGTGCTGCAATAAACATAGGGGTGCATATGTCTTTTTCAAACTGGGCTCCTTCATTCTTAGGGTAAATTCCTAGGAGTGGAATTCCTGGGTCAAATGGTATTTCTATTTTGAGCTTTATGAGGAACCTTCATACAGCTTTCCATAATGGTTGAACTAATTTACATTGCCACCAGCACTATAGGAGGGTTCCCCTTTCTCCACAACCTTGCCAACATTTGTTGTTGTTTGTCTTTTGGATGTTGGCCATCCTAACTGGTGTGAGGTGATACCTCAATGTGGTTTTAATTTACATTTCTCTGATGATTAGCGATGTGGAGCATCTTTTCATATGCCTGTTAGCCACCTGAATTTCTTCTTTGGAGAAGTGTCTGTTCAGATCCTCTGCCCATTTTTTAATTGGATTATTTCCTTTTCGTTTGTTGAGGTGCATGAGCTCTTTATATATTTTGGGTGTCAAGCCTTTATCGGATCTGTCATTTATGAATATATTCTCCCATATTGTAGGATGCCTTTTTGTTCTATTGATGGTGTCCTTTCCTGTACAGAAGCTTTTCAGCTTGATATAGTCTCACTTGTTCATTTTTGCTTTTGTTTCCCTTGCCCAGGGAAATATGTTCATGAAGAAGTTGCTTGTGTTTATGTCCAAGAGAGTTTTGCCTATTTTTTTCTAAGAGTTTTATGGTTTCATGACTTATATTCAGGAGCTTGATCCATTTCAAGTTTGCTTTTGTGTATGGAGTTAAACAATAATCCAGTGTCATTCTCTTATGTGTAGCTGTCCAATTTTTGCCAACACCAGTTGTTGAAGAGGCTGTCATTTCCCCATTGTATGTCCATGGCTCCTCTATCATATATTAATTGACCATATATGCTTGGGTTAATATCTGGCTCTCTAGTCTGTTCCACTGGTCTATGGGTCTGTTCTTGTGCCAGTACCAAATTATCTTGAGTACTGTGGCTTTGTACTGGAGCTTGAAGTTGGGAAGCGAGATCCCCACTGCTTCATTCTTCCTTCTCAGGATTGCTTTGGCTATTCAGGGTCTTTGGTGGTTCCATATGAATTTTAGAACTATTTGTTTCAGTTGGTTGAAGAATGTTTTTGGTATTTTGGAAGGGATTGCATTGAATCTGTAGATTGCTTTAGGCAGGATGGCCCTTGTATGTAGTACTTTTATCAATCTCTTGTCTTTAGCATAAATTACAAAATGAAACATGGCCCTGTCCTTCCTGAACTTTTAGTGTTCTTTCTACTAATCTTACCAAAGTCTGTCATTTACTTACCATACTGTTTGTACATCCCAAATACCATTTCCTATTTCTACACCCTGTCCTTTGTCAGTCTTTTGCTCATTCATACTCATGCAGCAGAACCCAGGGAGTGATATGCTCCCTGACCTCTTTTCCTTTTTTTCCATATATCATCATAGACTAAGGGTCTACCCTATGTGCCCACCCATGGCCAACTGTATAGGTATGTTTTTATAGGATGAACTACTTTCTTTTAAATTTATCTTTTCATGTTTCTGCTTACCGCAATAGATTGAAAGCTCTTTTAGGGTACAAACAATCTTTGTATACCTGTCCTGTAGCACAATGCCTGTGCTTTTAAGGAACTTAACATTAGCTTGAAACAGAGGGTAGAGTCCAAACAAATCCTAGATAATAGAGAAGAATGATCTCTTTCATATGGTATACTTGGGTAGAATGACAACTTCTCAGAAATTATTGAATTCCAAGCCATCAGTTAATCCATACAGTCTAGTTATAGATTAAAGAGTTTCCCTCACTGGTGTTTACAGCTCTGGGCCAATTAAGAATCCCTTAGTTTGGTGAACTAAAACCCAATTGAAGTTTCTGATTATATCATGATAACATTTTAAATCCATTAGAGTGCTTTATCTTAATAAGAAAAAATTTTCCATGCATTTATTTTTTTGTCTTCATATTCTAACAGCAAAGAATATATTCAAGAATAGCTGTCTTAATTTCAACCAGATGAATAATTTACATAAAATGAACTATTACATGTCACTGTACTGTGAAAAAGTTCTGTCTGCAATGATAGCCCCATTTGTATGGTATAGTAGTTTATGAGATATTTGTGAAATCATAGATTATTGAATGTGATTCTCAAAATAACTGTGTGAGGAACAAGAAGAGAAATCATTATAATTATTTTACAAATGAGAAAATTAAGGTCCAGAAAGAATAAATTAAACATGTGTTCCATGCTATGTTTATATCCAAGAGAGTAAATGATTTCAGGTGGCATGAAAATATAGAGATTTTGGCTTCAAATTGAGTGCCTTTTCTACAAGTCATTGTTGCTTCTTTTGGTAGGACTTCTG